TAGTAGAAAGTAGAACTAAACCGTGCCTTTTTTAGAATAGGGTAGAGTGTTTACTATTAACTAGGCTACGTACGGATAGTATATATACCGAGCCGGTAACCGAGTATGTCCGTACGAGCGACCGAGCTTTTCCGCGTATACGCTAAGCAGGCTTTACGCTAGCGAGATAGTACCGCAGTATATATAATAATATTACATAATTGTTATATAGGCTTGCTAAGGCATAATAGGAGACTTTACTTGCTTAGATTCTTACATTAACTTAGTATAATAGGCCGTATAGAAGGCCTTGCTTAATAATTAGTACGGTTGTTTCGATAGAATAGTATATATAGGTCCTATTCTTTAGGCGCAATATAGTTAGATTAGTCTTGTTCGTAGCTATACCGCTAAAAGCTTGAAATAAGGACTATCTACGTTATAGAAACTTTTTTACCGATCGCGACGATCCTATCGATAGGATCGCTTAGGATCCTTAGGATTCTTAGGATCCTTAGGATCCTTAGGATCGCACGTTAAAGATCTTGTCTAATAGGATCGTCGCGATCTAGAAATTCTAGCAAATCTGTTCGTAGTAAGAATTTTATTCTTTACTATCCGACTCGTATATCGAGTTAGGCTCGAGTCGTCGTATATACTAGTACTAGCATTTAAATTACATTTTCTATCGGATCTGCATATTATACGATTGTTGCTTCTACTAACATCTAACGTTTATACGCATACTCGGGTAACTACTAGCATTTGCATACGTCTACTACGTACACTAAGTTAGTACCGACTTAGCGACCGACTCGTATAGTATTAATAGATTTCGTTATGTTGTATAGGGCATCTATTTATTACGGTTAATAAGAATGTATTCTATTCGTCCTCTACGGCTATATTAAAGCGATATACCTCTACCTTCTTTCGTTTATTTCCTTTCAACTTCTTCTTCTCTTTTACTATATATCTCCTAATTCTTCGATCCTACGTCTCCTCGTTAAATGCTATCTCCTTAACTTTGCCGCCGTCCGCCTCTATATCCGCCTACTATATCTACTCCCCCTCTTCTAGCCCTAATACATCCCTAACGCGATCACTTACCGCCGCGAATGAAGTCTTATCTGTTATATAAGACTAGTCGGAATACCTACTATTCTTATAGTAATTAGCGCGCAATCCTTCCCTATTGCTATTACCGCGGTGTATCTATACCTTTAGTATTAATTGTCTTCGGTTCTATTGTATTCTATTGTCTCGGTTGCACTTATACCGTTGCCTCCCTATACCGAAGCAAACGGATTAGCAGCCCCCGTCGGCTCCTAATCTATCGCTTAGAAACTGCTCTATAGTATAGGCAGTCTAATATCGTTTTTCTTAGGCAGGGCCTCCGCCTCCGCTAACCTATCTATCGTATTGTCGCCGGCTTTAAGTTGTTTACTTAATTGTTGCCCGGTAGACGCTTTAGGACCTGTCTTATATTAGTAGGTAAGAGAAATACGGCGCTCGTAGACTACTCTTACTATAGCGCTCGATCGATCCGCCTTTATCGTCGGAATCTAAAACGACGTCGATTGCTATAAGTGCATCGATATCGTTACGTACGCTCTCGAAGTTATTTATTAATAATTTGGGGGTATCCTATACTCTACCTATATACCGTGCGTATATCTTCTACGCTTTCGATAACCGAAGGTTACGAGCAGCTTAATCCGTCGCATTCTACGTAGTTATCTAATCTAGGAACGGCTAGTATATTAACTTATAATCTAGGGCTAGCTAGATCGCTTTACCTCTAACTTTAGTTAAATGCGACTCTATCGACTATCCGGTTAGTATTCTACCGAGTACCGTAGCGGTAGACAATATTATAAAAGGAGTAACTTTATAGTAGTACTATTTAATATATGTCTTCTAGCCTCGCCGATCCTGCCGGAGTAGTATACCCGCTAGACATTTGTATATAAGCTTACTAAGGTAGCGCGTAGCATATGTCGACCGTTAGCTATTATCTAGTAACTATACTATTTTAGAGAGGGTCTTACTAGTTTCTCGTCGTAGCACTCGAAGATTTAGTTGTCGAGCATCCTCTTAGCGTATGCTATCCTTTTTAGAGTGTCGGTTATTGCGATCGGTGCTTAGTTTATTAAGGTTAATCGGATATAGGTGTTAATATAGCCTCGCTCCTTTCGTATAGCTTCTCGCAACTATTCTAATATTAGTCTCGATACTGTTATATCGGGATCTCTACCGACTGCTTAGACTACGTCTCTCGACGGTATATAGCTACCCGGCTATAGCGCTATTATACGTAAAGCTAGTAATCGATCGTAGTTTTTACTATATACCTCCTTAATTGTTTCGTCTACCTATACTAGGGTTTAGGTAGTAGGAAACATCGTCTTACATCCTCGGGCCCTAGTTAACGTAATAGCGAATAGTTTACGACGCGTCTCGTTATATAAGATTTGCTCCCTTGCTTCGAGTAAGCCCTTCTTTCGATTTAAACGTTCTTTACTAGAAGTCGTTAAGCCTTTATCTCGCTTCTTACGCCGTTTTAATAGCTTTGCATCGTCGCTCTAATCCGCCCTATCGTCGCTATGCTTCCGTTTTAGCCTTGCCGGATCTTTGCCATTCTTGCCCTTATACTAGTTACGTTAGTCCTCTGTTACCGTGCTCTAGTATACGTTACCTTTATAAATTTCGATCTAATACTAGTCGCTATATATAAACGAGTATCCTCCCCGTTTTCTTCTTCGAATCTAGTATCCCTATCTGACTCTATCGAGTTAGATAACGACTTAGTTCTATATTTATCTTCTTCGTAGTTGCGACCTATCCTAAGTATACTATAACGAGTAGTAGTATTATTGCGAATCTAACGTAGTATACATTAGACTATACGCGTCTTCGTACTTGTTTACCCTACGAAAAGGGGGGCATTAAATTGCGGTTTTATCTTCTGCTCCTATATAGACTGCCCGAGTCGCTGTCTATAATCGCTTATTAGTCCTATCGGATATGCCCCGCTAACGCTAAAGCATAATCGTAGCCTATAGACTATTCGCTATTTTCGTACCTTATCGACGCTAGCCCGATTCGGTCGCGAGTCGGATTCGGGAACTATCAATCTAGCGCTATTATTAGTCTAGCGGTAATTATTGCAGTCTATGCCGACGGTATATAGCAACACTATCGACATTGCACTAAAGCAATCGGCGCATTTAGACTATTTATTCCTCGCTCGGTCGCTACTACGGTATATATAGATATATATTCTTTATCGGTAAATTAATCGGCGTTAGCTAATCCGCTAGGTCGAATATATACCTTCGAAGCCGCCTCGTAGTATTACGGGTTAGTTAGAACTATCTCTATCGGCGTATTTAGCTAATTCGAGGTTAATAACACCGTAGAGGCTCTATACTCGACAGATGCAATTCTAACTAGATTAGCTAGAGGCATGCAATCTACCCTAGTACGACGACTGCTAGTCGTAGCCGATTTAGCCTTTCCTTAACTATCGCGCTACCCCGAGTCCGCTATCGCTATAGCGCGATCAGGGTGCTTAGATATAAGCCGAGATTAAATAGATAAAGGAAGAGATCGCAGCGCTTAAGACTGCTATATGTAATATACTTACTATATATTAGCATATGTCTAAGATTAAAGCGTAGTGCTTATCGTAGTCGGGGCATCTTGCCTTCCGTTTAATAAATAGATTAGTGCCTATTACTATTAGAGTAGGACTTCTATATCGGACTTAGTAAAATTAATTATTTATCTTGCTTTTCTGCGTTTACATTTACGCTCGTTCTACCTCCTTAATTTGCCTATAGATTGCAAATCGCAGCTGTAGGCCTCTGCCTAATATGTCGGATAGACTAGCCCTCTACTATCGCTTATTATTAATTCGAACGTGTCTATATTAGTCGCTTATTTAATACAATACGTCGACGCTGGCTTCGAAACTACAATCTACCCGCAGTATCTTAACTAATCGTTCGAGGTCTATATTATCGACTCCTACTAACGCGCGGCCTCTAACTATAGGCTAGCGATAATCGAGTTTATACAGTCGATATATAGGTTTTACCTTCCCGTTCTGCTCTTGCACTATAACTATGCTCTACTACACATTATTTAGTACGCGGTACGGCGGCACCGCTCTAGATCCTTCTAGTGTCGCTAGTCTAGTATCCGTAGATATAGCAATTTCCGCGCAATCGCTAGTATCGCCGACTCTACGCGTTATTACGCGCACCGTTTTTCGTCTCGTCCGTCGGCGATAATTAGAACAAATCTCGTATACTAGGTACTTAAACGCAGTCTGTCCCTCTACCGTACGGATCTGCTTTACTACCTTAGGGAACTCTTCTTCGTATTTCTCGTCTGTTAATACTAGGTCGCATAGGTAACCTTGCGTCCTTCGGCGTTCCGGTAATAATAGTAATCGGAACGTGCTGCTAATCTAACTAGACTCCTAAATTGACCTCTCGACGCTAGCGTAAAATGCGTAGTATATCGACGGCGATAGGCTAAGGCCGCGGGTAATACCGCCTATTAAATATTAATCGCGAGGTAGTTAAGTACGTAGCATTCTCGAAGGCGGTAGTTGTATGTATAGCGTAGTAGAAAGTCGACGTTAGTTAGCAGTAGAAACTAGAACTACTCTAGTCGCGGGGTTTGCTAATGCCGACTCGGGCCCTAATTCGGTATCGAATCGGGTACTAAGCCTACTAGGCAACTTCTATATCCTCTATTACTAACTTCGGTAGCAGGTTCGGCAAATTACGTTATCTATTATCTCGCTTCTTAACCTTACGCCTAGTGTATTATGTTGCCGCGGATTCATATACGGTCGTTTATTCGGCCTCCTACTTAGACTACTACTCTAGTATACGATCTATAGAATATTTCGATCGTTTTATGCCTTTGTTTGCTACTCGTTATAGCTAAACATATGCCTTTTCGCCGCCGATAGAGTTAGTAGCATCTATAGAAAACATGCTATCTTAATCGTTAGCTCGAACTATCTGCATGCCCTACTCTCGGGTCCTAAGACTAACCGCCTTACTAGCCTATACCCTCGTACTATAGCGGGTCTAGTCTACTCGCTATCGTATAATAATTGTTAGTTACTATAAGGATATAGATCGGTTAATTTAGCTGCATTGCGTAGCTTATAAGCACTCGCGTCTCGCGCCGGCGATCGCAGTCGCAACTCTGCTATAGATAGGCTTATATTTACATTACTAACTTTCGATTACTTATTACGTAGTACTATATTTACTACGACTTGTTAGTCCTGTATCTAGAACCGTCTATCGTATAGGGGTTTATACTACAACGATTATCTATAGCCTTATTACTTCGGTTACTAGTTGCGTAACTAAACTATTATATGCTTAAGCGCTAGATGCCTTACTTCGTCGATTTATTAGCTAGTTAGGCCCGACTCGCTAACCGACCTAGTTACGAGGCAGGCATTTAAGGTCGTTACCTTTCCTTATTACTACCTTCTTTAACATTTACTATTAACTCGTACTAATATATCTATTCTATGTATATATACCCCCTTACCCTCCCTATCGTACGTATAGTATATTATTTCCTTCGCTAATGCCCTATTCTAACTCGTATATAGGCCGCACTATATAACTTAGCCGTCGTGCTCGACTAGTATTAAGCTAGTATATATAGACACTCGTTACATAACGTAACTCTAACGGCTCGCGTTAGGGTCGGCGGGTATAAGCAGCTCTCCGCTCCTATTCTTACCTCCGCCGACTCTAACGTATAGCGAATTTTACTAACTCTATTAGTTTATCTGCTACTCTCGGATAGTGTACGTCGTTGTCGATCTATAGTCCCTAACCTCTGTTATATAAGTATTACTAATTAGTATGACCTATTATATACTAATGCTATATACTAGTTACAAACTCGTCGCCTACTACCTTTGCCGAGATAGTAGTCTCTACGAATGTCGAGGACTAGCTAAAGGACAACGAGCTACTAATTAAAGCCTTAAATAGCGGCAAAGACGTCCCTAAATATGTTATACTAAACCTGTATAGCATCGACAAGCCTCTTCTTACGTTAGTAATAAAAAGGCTCCTTCCGTATCTAGAGAAACATTTTTTATTTAACTAGTTAAAGGGGAAGTAGAGTCGCTAGCCCGTTAAGGGGCATTATAAGGAGGAGAAAGCTATAGTGTACGCTATTACTAGCAACCTTAACTATCCTACTAAACCTAGACGTACGCTATTAATGCCCGAATAGTACTTTAAAGATCCTAAATAGGCTCCGAAGTAGTACGTTAGGGGAATGCTTCTATAGGACAATGCAAATAGTCCGAATAATAAAATTTAGAGGTCTGCAGTCTACTTAGTATGCCGCCTTATATAGAAGGTTATAAGGGACAAGTTTACCCTACCGGCCGGTAATAATACTAAAGAGGAAGACGTATCCGAGAGCGAGACTAATAGATCCCGATAAACTACGCCCTCTATACCTAAGCGTAGAGCAAGTTCTGCCTCTACTAGTAAGACTAGTAGAGCCGGTCGGGTATTTAAGAGAATAACGCTAGGAGATTCGTACGGTAGTAAGGATACTAATCTAGTAATGTCCGACGCGCTACGCCCTATTAAGCCGGACCGGGCTAAGATTACGTTATAGTTTGGTATTATCGACTAGCGGTTACCTTTAACGGCAGACTACGACGTGTTTAGCCTAAATTAGTCTGTCCTATAATCGAAGACTTCTAATAATATTAGTGTAAAGGATTTGTTACAGCTCTAGCTCGTACGAGAGTTATTACTATCGCCCGAATAGTAGAAGTACGAATTCTTCGTAGTAATCGATCTAGCTCGCGGCCCTAAAGGTCTTTCTAAATGCAAGACTAATCCGATATTCCACTCCCTAGCTATAGAGATATACAATAGCTTAGATACTAGGATTTCTACTAGACTCGATTTCCTCGTCGGCAAAAATATAACGGACTATACTAGGATACCTTCTATATATCGTCGACCGTCCCTACTTAAGGCTTCTAGAACTATCGACCTAGCTTAGTACGGTGCTTCTATAGCTAGTAATCCTACCGAAATCAATATCGGTTAGGGTCCGTAGTCGCCTACGAAATCGGCTATTAAGCAAGCTAAGGACGACCGACTCGCTCGTAAGGATCGCACCGATCGCGAGCGCTATAAATAGCTTATCGCGGATAGATTCTAGAGGATATATAAAGAGTAGGAGGCAGCTCGGCAGGCAGCCGCGCGAAAAGCTATAGCCGACGTCGCCGCGGATATAATAGCGATTTAGTAGGCTATCGATAAGGCAGTTAAGGAGGTGCTCCGCGACAACGGTTATAATAGGAATACTGCTTTACTTCTAGTCGCCCTCGACGATTCGGTTCGAATAGCCGTCCGTTCTATATAGCCCGATACGACAGAGTATACGGTAAAGACCTATATTGCTTCTGCTCTACCTAAGATATAGCACGCTTCAAATAGACTAGTACTATCCCTAGCACAACCTCCGGCGTAGACAAATGCTAGTAATAATGCTAAGGATAATAGAAAAATTAATCCGAGCAAAGCCGACAATGCTAATAGCAAGAAGGCCGGAGATGTAATCGACTCGAAGCGAGATCGAATTCGCTAGAAATAGATCGAGTCGTTACCGAGTTAGATCGTATCGCTACTAGATCCGAATAAGCCTAAACTCGCCGTACGACTACCGGGCACGCAAGTAGAAGTCTAAGCCGACCCTCTACCGATCTAGACGTTAGTAGATTTTGTCGATTAGATCTCGTCGGCGATACCTAGCTAGTCGATAGATTTAGATATAGAAACCAACGTCGAGAAGCAGTTGTCTAGTAACGTATACTCCTATCTCGACGCTAAGAACTTCAAGTTAATATGCGATTTTAGACTACTCGATCCCTCTTAGACTTCGCTGCGTATAGGCGTTATTCCGCCTAATTAGAGATCGACTCGTCCGTTAAAGTCTTACTAATTCTATATAATTACCTAGACGCTTCTAGCTTCCGTTGCTAGCGCGGACTTCTATATCGGCGGTATAGACGTAGGTATAGGCAAGACGGTATATACGTTAGGGTACGTCGCTATAACCTCGATATAGTAGAGGGTATAGAGTAATAACGGGCTATTAACTACTAACGCCTATCCCTTTCGGCTATCTAATTCGTCGGTTAACCTAGGACTTCGGCTAAATAAGAAAATTGCGTTCGATCTGTAGGTATTAGCTAGCGGTACAAAGCCGGTTATCCGCCCTAGCGTTTACGTTGTCTGTGTTCCGAAGTAGCTAGCCGAAAACTAGATATATAAGATCGACAACTTTATACTACCCGGAGCTATATTCGTATATCTTATAAAAGACTCTAGTAAGCTAACGAAAGATAAGAGACGCAATAGAGCTAGTCCGTAGAACTACAACTAGGTCGTATATATCGAGGACGTTCTTTATCTCGATTATATAGCGCTCCCGACTCGGCTAGAACTAGAACAGGTATTCGGTACAAAGGTTATAGATAAGTAGTAGTTTAAAAAAGGCGTCCTAGTGCGCTTATTGCTTGAATACGAGGATATAGAAGTACCCCCTTATTTATAGTACTATAAATAGATCGTCCTTACTACCTCGACTATAATATCTAACGTACTAGATTTTATAACGTACGAACGAGCTAAGAAATAGAAGTCCTAGACACAGTCGGAGAAATCTAATTCGAAACCGCCGCTACTTCGTATACTAGCTGCGACTATTATCGTCGACGAGTTTTATATTACTAAGATATATAGCGCTAAAGAGTGGACTGCCGTCGCTAGTCTTATAGGCTATCCTTTCGTTCTCGGCCTAAGTAGTACCCCCTTTAGCAAACTATCTAATTTAGCTATTATCGCAACTGCCTCGGTATAGAGATACGTTAATGCCTACGATATAAAGGGGTACCTCTGCCCTGTTTAGTCGCCTTCTATAGTACAGTTTAATTTCGTCGACTAATCGCTATCGACTAAAGAGACGCGCGATATAGAACGTAACTTCTAGTTTAGCGACAATAGTAATATCTCTAACTCGGCTAGGCATATTAGCAATTAGGTTTCTAAGTACTTACAATCCGAATACTCTAACGCGATAGTAGGTCGAACAGAACTAAGTATTACAGATAAAGATACTCGGGCGCTAGACAAGTTTCGCCCTTAGTTACTAACGAAAATAGTTCGCCTTAAGAAGACGCTAATATAGCAACCTATACCTAATGCTCCGCGCGTACCGGCTGTCGATTATCTACTATATTCCTATTTTAATATTAGCTTACAATTTAAATCTATAGAAGATCTAGTACTAAGCGAGTAGGTCGAAGAATAGAAGGTAGCGGAAGATACCAAATTCATATACATGTCTAAGATAATACGGGTCTTTACTATGTTTCTATCGCTACTTCTCGTACTACGGGGGGGCGATACGGACTTAATTAAGGAACTTAGTACTTTTATACTATAGGACATTAAAAACATGCTTCCTAGGATACGCGACTACGGTCTATCGGATCCCTACCTCTAGGACTATATACTAATACTATATAACGAGCCGGTTATAGTATCGCTACGGTACATTATCCGAATTAAGCGTAGTAAGTAGCGCTAGCACGGGCATAGAAGTAAGATTGTGCTAGCTAGCTTTAAGCCGTAGAATGTCTTCGTTTTAGACTTAGTACGTATCTATCTGCCCCCCCCCCCCTATCTACTAAGCATATAAGACTAACATTTTTATAGTATCTTTAGTAGCTAGCTATACAGAAAAAAGACTCCGAGTATTACGATAACATCCTAAGCACTAGCAATATAGTATATAGAATCCTTATCGATACTTAGAGTAGCTAGACCGATACTACTAGGGCCGACCTTATTAAAGAGTTCGTATCTACGAGGAACAAGGTAAATAGATATAGCGACGAGAAGTGGCTTATAGTAGCATATACAAGCTAGATTATAACTAGTATAAACCTCCCCCCTGCGGATACCGTTATTATTATCGACAATTACTAGACTCTAGAGGCTAATATTTAAATAGGTAGAAGAGTATCTCGCGCGGCCGGCGTTTAGAGGGCAGATTTTACAGAGTCGTACCGATTTGTAATAGTATCGGTTATAATTATATAGGTAGTATAGGTTACAAGCAGACAGGTACGAGCTTAGGATATATAACAATCGCTCGGCTTCGAGAAGGAAAAAAAGAGGAAAAAGGGTAAAGTATAATAGGATATAGCTATAGCGTACGTCGGCGCTAGTATTGCGAGCGAGGGAAGTAGTATATAGAGTCGACGTCGACATAGCAGATACGCTATAAAATGTTAATATAAGCAAAGCAAGCCTAACGTTGTGTTTATCCGCGCCTAATGTTAATAACTACTACTATAGGTACAAATTAGCGATGCGACTCGATAACCGACTTAGGGTACGAGTCGGTAAGCCTATATATTAGGAAGCGACCTAGACTACCGCTCTACCCTTTAAATTAGCGATGCGACTCGATAACCGACTAGCTATCCGACTTAGTCCGGCTTAGGTTACTAATCGGCAAACCGACGTATTAGGAAGCTACCTAACCTACCGCCCTACCCTTCCTATCCCCTCTTACTATATATCCGTATAGTATGTTTCCCTATATTCCGTTACTACCTTCTTTGCGCATCGAGCATAATGTTATTATATACCTATTGTTTTCGTAATAGAAACGCAACCTTTTTACGCAATTGCTCTAACTCTAGTACTAACCGCTCTACCTCGTCTTGCAGTTCTTTATTCGTCTTCTATCGTATAAATAGCGGCGGTCTATTCTTGCGGATATATAGCGCTGCCCTGCCCGAGATTCGAATGCTTCGTTTAATCTATCTAACCGGGTTCTCTACGTTAGGAAAGGCTAACTAGCTACTACGTTTGTCGACTCGATTAAGTGCTAACGACTTAACCGCGTACTACGATTCTTAACTGTCCTTTACCTTATCTATATTATCGAAGTTCCCTATCGTTCTAGTGTTAAGTAGAACATATACAGTATAGACCCTAGGCTAGGAAATCGAATATAGTCGACTAGGTTACGTAGTATAGGCGATCGGTTAAACAACCCCGCAACCGTAGCTAGAGCGATTAGCAACTAGCGCGCTAGCTAGAACTACACTCGGCGCTACGATACTATTTACTATATAGCGCTACTATTATGCGTACGGAGCTAGACTATAGCCGGCGACAAGGAGCATCGCGAGGAGGACGCTACGGCTACGGCTATCGCGGGCCTCTAGTAGAATAAGAAGCCAAACCCTATCTACTACGCGGCGCCGCTATTATACTACGGAGCAAGATTATAGCTAGGGCAAAGGCGTAGGTAAAGTTAAGCTCGAGACACGAACTACGGCTACGGCTATTGCGGGCCTCTAGTAGAACAAGAACCTAAACCCTATCTACTACGCGGCGCCGCTATTATACTACGGAGCTAGATTATAGCTAGGTTAAAGGCGGCAAGAGCATCGCGGGAGGACAACCGAGTCGCCTTACTTACTCTTAGAGTATCCTATAACTATACCTTTATTATTCTTGCTATACATTGCTCCGACGTATATAACCTAGCGTAATGCCGTTAGGTTAGACAATAAGGAGCAATGTATAGCAAGAATAATAAAGGTATAGTTATAGGATACTCTAAGAGTAAGTAAGGCGACTCGGTTGTCCTCCCGCGATGCTCTTGCCGCCTTTAGCCCTCTAGCCGAACAAACGGTCCCTTATTATCTAACCTAACGGTATTACGCTAGGTTGCATACGTCGGAGCAAAAGCCGTTTAGAGTTAAGGTTAGGCCTATTATCGGCTTCGCGAAGGCTACCGACAAGATCTAGGTTTAGCGTTTTAGTAATACTAACTAGGTTAGATTCCGCCTTGCCGACTGCAGTATCCCGAATGCTATAACGCGATAGATTACTATAAATAATTACTTCCGTTAATACTACGGAATTACCCTTAGATACCTAGATCGTCCGGTACTTAACGTTAGTATACGCGCTAATCCCTAATACCTACCTGCCGAGCTGTATACAATCCGTACTAATAAGCCTTATCGACGCCTGCTTAGAGGCGACTAGACTTCTAAGATGCTCAAATTCGCAGCTATATTTCTAAACCTCGATGCTATATCTATTACCGGAACTCCTAGTGCTAGGCTTAGGAATAGTCCGCGGCTCTTCCGTCTTGCCGATCCTACCGGTAATTATTAGTTAACTCCCGTAAAGCTATTTAGCTTCTCGGTAGGTACTAGTATAATTATAGTGCCCGGCCGCATCCTAGATACTCCTCGCGTAGGCTATAATTCGAATTCGAAACCTAGTATACTATAGAAGGACTGCTAGAACTTGCAGAGCGTTAAGTTTACTAGACCTAGAAAATTTGATAAGTAGTTGGTTCTAGTTACTAACCGTAAGAGCAATCGAGGTAGTATACTATATAGTAACCTAGGTAGTCCTAAAAAGGCCTTTACAAAGCTCTACGGTAGCAAAGAGAAGTATCCGAAGATAACCGTAATTATCGTTAGTAAGCGTTACTACACTCGTTTCTACCCGACTCGTAGGCAGGATATATATAATAACTATTAGAACCTACTCGTAGGTACAGTCGTCGACTATAGTATCGCCGACAAGATCTATATAGGGTCGGGCTATAGGCACATTTAGGACTTTAAGGCACAGCACGACCCGCTTACTACGTAGTTACTAAGGACGAAATCAAGTTTAAGGCGGATAAACTTTAGCAATTTATACACTACCTCTGCTACTTCTTTAGCCGTACGACAAAGGCTGTGTCTATCTACCTACTAGCATACTACGTAGACCTTCTTTGCGAGCGTAGCCGTGCCTATTTGTTTAGCGTCCTAGCTAAGAGTTATAGCAGTAATTCTTTAGTCTTTAACGCTAGACAAGAGTAGTCTCGTCTAGAGGATAAAGAAGAAGAAGAAGAAGAATTCAATATTAGGAGAATAAACTTTAGCAATTTATATACTACTACTACTACATCTTTAGCTATACGACTAAGGCCGTGTTTACCTATACTAGATATGCACCTTAGCAATCTAGCGCCCGGACTCGATATAAGGCTAATAACGCCGTAGGCTCGGATCTAGCACCGGCATATTAAAAGGGCGTATAAGGCTACAATTATTATTAAGCAGCTAATCCCTTCGTTATAGGCGAAGGCAAATAGCTCTACCTATAACGAAGAGGTTAGCTGCTTAATAATAATTGCAGCCTTGTATGCCCTTTTAATATACCGGTGCTAGATCCGAGCCTGCGGCGTTATTAGCCTCGACCTTCGTTAACTACGGCATAACTACGACGGCGACGAAAATCCTATAGTACTTCTACCGAGAATTACAACGAGATACTATAAAAGACAAGAAACTATATAGCGGAACCTAAAGTAGTGCGGAACTCGTACGAGTCGAGACTAATTAGGCTATCCGCCGCGAGTCGGTAGTAGTAACAGTAGCAATAGGATATAGATCTAGTAGCCGAGAGGCTAGATAGGACAAGGAAACTAGATAGCGGGAAGTAAAGTAGTGCGGAACTCGTACGACTCTAGGCCGAGTAGGCTATCCGCCGCGAGTCGGTAGTAGTAATAGTAGCAATAGGATATAGATCTAGTAGCCGGGAGACTAGATAAGACAAGGAAACTAGATAGCGGGAAGTAAAGCAGTGCGGAACTTATGCGACTCTAGGCCGAGTAGGGCATCTATAGTAAGTCGGTAGTAGTAATAGTAGCAATAGGATATAGATCTAGTAGCCGGGAGGCTAGATCGGATAAGGAAACTAGATGTCGGAAAGTTAAGTAGTACGGAACTTATACGAATCGAGACTAAGTAGGCCATCTATAGCGAGTCGGTAGTAGTAGTAGTAGTAGTAGAATGCTAGGATAGTAGCTAGGACAATAATTTCAACTAGTAGTAGCTAAACTCTTCGGTACTGCATTAATCTATATTAAGGCCTATCGCGATAAAATGCATAGGCATACGTATCTATAATCAAATTAGTCGCTATATATACCGGAATGTTTCAAGTTACTTCTAGGTAATTCGACAATCCGCGAAGGCGTAGTTGCCGCTAGCATATAGGATATAGGTTAGTCTAGCGCTAACCGAGCGTCTAACACGAAGACAGTAATACTAGAAAATAGCATCGTAATATAGTAGGATATAAGTTTGATATATTAATAGTATTACCGAAAAGTGCAGGCTAACTCTAAGATACCGAGTCGTAGTATTAATCCGCCCCTAAATTATTAATCGACCCCGAACTTAGCAACCCTATATATAAATAATGCATATGTCTATACTAGACTAGCAGTGCTCGCACGCTATCCTGCGATAGCATATAATACTGCCTTAAGCCGACCGTAGCAAACGTTTATCGTGCTACTTAGAGTTAGCAGTAGCTAAATATTCGAGTTATAGTAAAACGTACTTCTCTAGACACTATCGATATACTACTTATCTACGCCGCGGACTAAAGCAATAGTACGATCCTTACTAGCGTCCTAGTCTAATATACTGCCGTCCGGAAACATAATATAGTCGGCGAGCTTAGTATTAGCTAGAACTAGATCGTATAGGAGAAATAGACACTACTACTGTTAGTCCTCGCATAAAGATATAGAGCAATTTCACTCTCATCTGGTCTTCCAATCCAATCGAATTTCCGAACCCGATATGCACGAGTCGTCGTCTCCGCAAAAGCAACATCCAAGACAGTCTTTCCCTGCTGATCGAATTCAGAGAATTCAGCAATGAGACCCCAGCTCACCAAGGTATGTCCATCAGGTAAGTTCTGCATCGAGCCTTGATTCTGCGCCAAACCCTTGATCGTAGGGAAGAATTGCTTCAACAGCCTGGACTCGCTACGTCGAAGATACAGTCTAGTATAAGGGCAATTCGACCCCGATCGGAAATATACCTAGCCGACCTTAACACCTAGAACCCTAAAGCGGGTTAGAGCCGCAGGCTCTAGCTAATAGAATAGTGCTATTAGCTAGGGAGCGGATAACTAGCGCACTATCCCTAGAGCGACGCAAGACCCGATACTTAGCTGCGCTAGAGGTTGAGATATAGGTTAATATTAATAAGTCGGCGTATAGGTCTATATAATAGCGTATATATAATAGCGTATCTATAATAGCGTATATATAAAAATCAAATAGAGTCGACAGGATAAGGCTTTATACTTCTATCTAATAGGCGCACCGACAGGATAGTCGTAACTGCTACGAGTCTTAGAGGCCTTAGATTTAATATAAACTGCTTATTAGATGCCGCCTTAAACGACGTCGTTACTAAGTCGGCTAAGCAATACTTACTAGCAGTTACTCGAGCGCTATTCGTTTACTTTGCTTAGGAATACAACCTAGCTATAACATAACTAGAGCAAGCCTTAGTAGTACCGGGCGAATTTAACGTAATTAATAATGCTACAGGGCAGTATTAAACCGGAGCAATGCTACTCCTACACGTATATAGAATTGAACATATATAACGCATTTTACGGTATAATATATAGGCCTTAGGGCGTTAGAAGTAACGTAGAAGTCTAGTCGAAGTGTAGTACAGTCGTTTATATTTAGTATTAATTTTCTGATTAGTTCTAACTAGTAGCCGAGTCGGACGGCGAGTCGGTATACAAATTAGTATTTAAATATTATCGCAAGAGGCGCTAGTAGAGTGACATTAAGTTAGTATAATCGAACGGGATAAATCCGAGATTTTGCCGAATCCGCGGGCTACGAATCGATATCGAGTCGGACCCCGACTTATACCTAACTTCGTAGTAGTAGAGCCTTAGTAACTTCGTATACGTCGACATACGGCAACCCTATAGTAGCTATAGTACTAGCGCCTATTATCGAAAGCTAACTATATATATAGTAATGTCTTACTATATCGAATGCAGGTTATGCAACCGGCTACTTAAAAGCTCCTACGGCTATAAGCAATATAGAAACAAGTGCGAGAAACGCGTCGTACTAAAAGAATTTGCCGAGCACGATTCTACTACAAATAATGCCGCGAAGCGAGCCCGACTTAACTTATATACGATCTAAGGTAGTAACTAGAGCGCCGAACAAGCCGACGATAGATCGACACTAGAAGGTATATAGCAAGACGTAAATAAAGAAGGCATAATAGAAGCTGTTCTAGTAACGACATTAACGCTAACAGTACTAGTGCTATAGGAAGATAAGGGAAGTATAGATAGCATTAAATAGGATAGATATCTTAAATTACCGGAATTCGATATATAGGATAGCCTAGCGGACGAAGACGAAATAGAAAGCGTATAGGCAACTACCGCCGGAACGATAATAACGCTAGGAAGCTAGAAGTTAATAAGATTACGGCTAACACTAAAAGGCTACTATACCGCGGATAATATCGATGTATTTACCGAATACACTAGCCGTACCGCTAGCAAGCCTATAGCTAGGTATAGCATAATTACAGTTTGGTATAGTAGAGTGAATACAAGCGCCTAATCTATAAGCAGCGTTAAAATACGAACACAAGATACTTCGGGCGAGTACGGAACATTTAAGTTACTATTCGACATAAGCTTTACGTAATTCTTAAAGAGAGAGAGAATATCCGGATATGTAATTGCAAGGCTTTTCGAAGACGAGAGGCTAGTACTACTATACGATCTACTAAGCTGGAAAAGCATAAAGGCTATAACGTCGAAACTGCGAGCCGGCGGTATACTACTATCGAGGGTATTAGGTTAAATAAAGGTTCGAAAGCTATACCTTCCGATAAGTCGAACGGGTTGCGGTAGTACGGAGCTAGTGCTACGATACCGATCCGTTAAGAAAGCAGTAATGTTCTTAATAGGTTATAGTAGCTTTAGGAATAATCTAGTATATAAGCTATATCGAGCGTAGACGACTAACGACCTACTACGGCGAATCTACTCTAATATAGCGTTAGCAGACTAGTAGTAAGATACCTAGAGCAAGATAGATATAGACGGCGCAACGATCGTACCTCTAATCGTATTAACCGATAAAACGCAGATAACTAACTACTAAGGTAACTTAATAGCATACCCTATATACCTTACTATCGGAAACCTATACGTACGAGCACGCAACGCGAACAATAGACCCGGTACGATCTTACTAGGACTACTACCGGTCGTTAAGGATAGCGATAGTTTTACTAAAAACAGTATATATTATATATCGATAGTATATATATTTCGCTCCGCTATAAAAGCGGCCGACGGCGAGGGCTAGGACATTATATACGTAGATAGCGCGACGCGCAGGTGCTTTCTAATCTTAGCAGTAATGTTAGTAGACTATAAAGAGCAAGTTGCAATTACCGGAGTTAAGACAAACATGCATTACCTAAGTTGCCTAGTATACCCGATAGAACGAGAGCACCTCGATATTATAGTAAAATAGCGGTTATACGAATCTACGAAGCAGCGACATCTAAGGCAACGCAAAGGCGAATATATAGCGAAGGATCCGTAGAACGTCTACGACATCGATTGCTTTATATAGCGCTAGAAACACGTCGACATATACCGGTCTTTAGTAGTAGACACACTATACTAGCTACTAAAAGGAGTGCTAATATACGCAATCTAATAGACTACGGACCTACTAGTAGACAAGATAAGCTATATAAAAACGAGGAGATACCGACTAGTTGCCGACTCGACCCCGAATAGGGGCCTATCTACTAAAACAAGAAAGCTAGGGAAAATAGTAGTATAAGGGATTATCGACATAATACTAGACAGACGGTTCGCGTATATGCCTATATATACTAATCTTCGCAAGTTCTGCCACTACTTAGCAGTTACTTAGTAGATAGGCTAAGAGTAGCAAAGCGTCCTACGAGTCTTATTAGTTGTATTTATACTACTACTCGAAGAGATCTATTAACCGCAGGCGATAAGATTTCTACGTATACTAGTAGACTTTACCGTTCTAGCGATATATAGATGCTATAACGACGAAACAGTTAAGTATCTTAGGATAGCATTATACCGGATAAACGAATAGAAGAATGTATTTCGCCTATATAGGGTAACAAAGGTATAGAAGAGGGCCTAGCGGGAGGCGAAGGCTACTACGCGAAGAACGAACGACCTAAATAACGACGATGCGGTTACAATAGACGAGGACGACGAAGCTAACGAGCTAATAATAACACAAATAGAAGGGCACTTTAATATACCGAAATTCTACGGTATAACATATACCCCGAGCTATATTAAGACGTTCGGCAATCTTCTAGACTTAAATACTAGCTATTTCGAGTACAAACACTATAAACTACTAAAGCTTGCATTTCGGCTAATAAACAAGAAGCCTAGCTAGGAAGAAAGTATACTAGATAGCGATACTAATAGATTAAATATATAGGCCGAAGACGACAAAGAATATATAGCAATCCCTATAAATGCTCGCACTATTAAGGAGTATACGCAATAGCTAATAATGCTAACTATAGTACGGCTAGTAGAGGACATCCTAGGATACTAGCCCGAGAAACAGAGGGACAGAAAGAAATCGGTTAAGTAGATTACGATAAGGGAGGCTATAGCTATAATAGAAGAGAACTTAGGTCGCGACTTCTAACAAGCGATTGCAGTATTCGTACGGCAATAGGGTGCCTACGATAAGAATAGCGCATTAAGCACCGCAGCCGACCCTAACGATATTATAACGAACTATATATATGTCCTAGATATAGAGATCTGCTTCTACGGTAGAATCCGATACTAGAAGCCTACGGGTAAGGATATAGAACATCCTAACGTAGTAGCAGCCGACTTCGCGAGATATATACTAAACTAGGAGGGGCTCTACGGCAATAGACGTTATAATTTTATATAGGTATAGGAATACAACGTTAATTGTATAGAAACACCTAATAAATTAGCGGTTCGATTCGGCGGTCGCCTACTAGCTTAACTAAAGTACGTAATCTCGATTAACATAGAAATAGGAATTAAATATAGGAAGGGGCTTAGGACGAAACGGAGGCCCGTTATAGGCGTTTTTATTAAGCTTTACGACTATGTTAACGATAAGAGCGAGTATAAGGATGCGTATAGTCTAACGACAATCCGGCTATAGCGTCTTTTACCGTACTATAGTAGACTTAAAGGGCGACGGGTATATAGCCTACTACTAGTCTATTATATATTATATACCGTACCTATAGACGAAGGCGCCCTATATAGGACTCGCTATATTAATAGTATAGTTGATTTCGAGACGTATAACACAATTTACGACGAGGAATAGAAGGATAAGGAAATGCGAGCTATAAAGGCTTACGAGCGAGTAATAAAAAGGCAACGTGCCGTATAGAGTATATAGAAATCGTATCTCCGAAATATAGAGGACAATAATACTAAGGCGGCGAAGAATAATTTTATAGTTTATAGAGAACATATAAGACAGGATGTAGCGATATATAGTAACGACGGTTAATATAATAGTAATATACTTAAAACTATAGTACTACTAGTATATTCTAGTTTAGACCGAGTCGACTAATACGACCGAGTCGACGAGTCGATAAGTATTAATATAGTACTATACGAATAGTATAAACACTACTAACGACTACGACTACGAGCGACCTAGAGCGATCCTATATATATAAAAATTTACTATATCGATCCTATCGATCGCGTCGATCCTATCGATCCTATCGATCCTAAGCGATCCGGGTATAAGTTAGGTCGCAACTCGGTCGCTTAGGATCGCTTAGGATCGCTTAGGATCGCTTAGGATCGCTTAGGATCGCTTAGGATCGCTTAGGATCGCTTAGGATCGATAGGATCGATAGGATCGACGCGATTAGAAAAAAAGTTTTCGTAACGTAGCTGCTACCCTTAAAGGGTAGATCGAATACTATATAAGAAGGGTATATTAGTAGGTAGATAGGGTAGTAGTAGGTATAGGTAGTATTCGATAGAGATCTAAGAGGAGAGGGAGGAAGGCAGGCAAGTTAGCCTATTACTAAGCGCCAAGCCCTGCCTAAGGCACTAAGACCCTAGCTTTACTTAGCCTAGTTATATACTAATTACGTATAGCCTCTTTAGCCCTAATATACGGTTAATAAAGGAATTAAACCGTTACTAACTAAATAGGCTCTTATTCTTAACGCCTTATAGTTAACAACCTCTAATATAGATAACCTACTATTAATTAAGACTAATTTCTACGACTATATCTATAGAAGAGGTAGCTTTATTGCCTCTAACGACTACTAGATACGCTATAGCAATATAAAGCTATTCTAGAGCTATAAGGCCGCTACCTTACTATTACTAGTAGCCTATACCTTGCGGCTTTGTTAGACTACTACTAATATAGTTACTACTAAGCGGACCTTCTTAGCTTTTAAGCTAATATAAACGAGGCTTTATTCTCGTCTAATAATAGAGCGACTTAACTAGCTAATCTTTATCTACTTTAACTATCGAGTCCTATATAGAGAGTAGGAGCTATAGAGTAAGAAGCGGAAGCGGACAACTCCCTTAAAAGGTAATACGTTTATACTAGAATAGAATAGACAAATAGACGAAGAAGAAGTAGCCGCTATTACTAATACGATAGTACTATTATAAGGTGCAGTCTACGACGCTATAAGCGACAGTTTAAATAGCAATCTGCCTACCTATAACGAGTATATAGAAGAGGCGGAGCTAGAGATAGTATTTAGAAAGGTAGATATCTAAGATCTACTAACCTAAAGCGATAGTAAGGTCTTTAAGGTCTATATAGCAATATCTATATATTTGGTGCCTGCGAGTTATGCCTTGCGAGTTAATAATAGTCGCACTATATTGTGTATTATTAATAGTCGCACGCGCGCGACCGAATGAGGTTTGTCGACCCCTGCAGTTTTGCCGTTTCGCCGGGAGCGTAAGACTAGCTTGACGCCACCAGGAACGGTTTCCTTGACAGGATTTTAGATTTCTGGCTTTAGAATAGACTTGAGTGCTCTCAACACGCTAGAATGCAGCTTCGACCGGCGTAATGATGCGTGATCTCGATGCGTGCGAAGAGCTTCTCTCCAAGCTGTTGATTCATGGGGATCGCATGAACGTTCGGAAGGTCTCGTCGCATTATCCGTCTAGCGACAAGCATTGCTGAGGACATGTCCAGATGCTCGCAGACTGGGATATTCTCTTCGGGGAGAGTGCCCGGTCAGTTCTATTGACTCAAAGACCAAGATTTCGGAAGCATAATAATGGTGACTCATTGGTGAGACATGCCCGCTCTCACCTACTAGTAATGTTGTTGTCTCGGCCTCCTTTCCGCGGGATGGCAGTGGCAGTGGCTTCGGAGAACGGGTCGTTGCAGTGTGAAGACACGGCAATGACTTCACGGAGGCGCAGGTGGTGTCGGGAGCCTCCCAGGTGCCGGCGGGATACACGGTCACGGTCGCGGTCGCGGTCACGGTCACGGTCACGGTCGCGGTCACGGTCACGGTCACACTCGTATCAACTCAATCAACATGCCAAGCCAAGCCAAGCCAAGCTGCACGCGTTCCAAATTGTTCGGTGCCTCAAACCAAGCTCTCGTTGTTGTGGGCGCGCTGCTGACCCAATGAGTAGAGACCTTTAGCAATCTCGAGTGTCAGAATTTAGTAGTGTTCACCAGGGTTGGTAACTAGGCCTATTTGAGACGGCTCTTCCGAGTGGTTTAGCAACCTCCTTTTGCTACCTCTTGGCTGCTTAGTTATCGTATCTATAGTAATGTAACCTAGCTCTTTAATATAGACCTTAGCTAGTAGTATTATCGCTATAACCGTAGGCTTAATAGACGCTTAAGTAAGACAGTTATTGCTAGACTATTAGGTAGTTGTCGGACAAGCGGCTAGCGCCTATCTCGAGTTAGTAGTCGATATTATCGTAGATAATAAGGCCGACGAGGCGTACGAAGGCGATTAAATAAAGAGCCTATATTCTAACGATTATAACCGGCTTAAAAGGACGAGGTTATAGGACCTAACTAACGATTAGTGTAAGCGTAGATTTCGCTTCTAAAAGCAGGATCTATATAGGCTCGTAAGGTTGCTTAAATTAGACTAGATTAAGTATTTATACCGTATAGAACCTACTAAGGAAGAGGCGTTACTAGTACTTCTATAGCAACTCGCAAGTAGTGCTACTTAGCAGTCGCTAGCGTACGAGTTTAGTAGAGGGCCGACCTAGATTAGTATTATATTTAATACTGTTCTTAAGCACTTAGACGACTTCTTTAGCGACAGATTATTATTTAATACTCGTCGGTTAACTCCTTAGTATTTGCGGAGGTATATAGAGGCACTAGAACCGGACATTAGTCTTGCTAAAGTATATGGATTTATTAATAGTACCCTTCGTCCTTACTATAGGCCTAAGTACGACTAAAAGCTATACTATAGCGGATATAAGAGAGTATATAGCATTAAATTCTAGGCTATTATTACTCCTAACGGTCTATTGTCGTCGCTGTATAGTCCTAAACCTAGCTCTTTCGAAGATTCTTAGATAGTATATAAATCTAACATTTAGTGGATTTGGTATGCGTTATTCGATAGGTACGGATTAGACGACAAGGTGTTTATTTATAGAGACTCGGCGTACGTAGTAGCGGATAGTATTATATCTGCTTTTAAAGGTTAGAATAGTTAGCCTCGTACGCCGCTATAGAGGCAGATAGACTAAGAGATGTCGGCGTTAAGGGTTGCTATAGAGTATGTATTCGGACAGATATCTAATCTGTAGCGGATTAACTTAGTTAAGCAGAAGGCGGACTTATAGGCTATTAGATCTATCTATCGAGCGTGCGTTCTTCTTACTAACTGCTATACCTGCTATTATAGTAATTAGGTATCTATAGGTCGTATAGATCTACTATTATTAGAAGAATACCTCTATTCGAGGGCGACTAATGCTTAAATTAGTAACGAGATTAGAGCCTTAGTTAAGACGGTTCTACCGCTAGGATAGCGACCGCTATAACTAGAGCGAGGTAATAAGGGCGATAAAGGAGATAGGTATACGTCGCCGGCGATAGAAGACGAGGGTAGCGATAGTAATAGTAATAGAAGAACGACGATAATGTCGAGAAGTTAAAGTATAGCTTTACAATTCTAACGGTATTCTTAGCACTCGTACTATAGGAGCGAGTATATTTCGAGCTATTAGTGTATATCTAGAAAGCAGCGAAAATAGGTAACTAGAGCGTCTGTACGCGATTCTCGTAATATCTCGGCGATGTTGTTAACCTATTACTAAGTAATAGTTATATACTACTAACCCTATCCCTCCTCCTATTTCCTAAATTTCTAGCGATAATCTCGCGATTAAGAGAACAACAAGGCAACGGCAGGAGCAACTAGTTCGCTAAATCGATACTAAAGAGCAATATTGCTAACAAATAAGTAGGGATTTGCTTTAACTAATCCTATAAAACAAACTCTATACTATAATAACTACTACCTACTCCTCCGAGTCGAAAAAGTCCTCGGGGACCTTAATATCGTCTATATTCTAATCCTAATCGTAGCGATCTAACTACCCTATCTGCTATAAGAAGCCTAGTTTCGGTAAGCGCTCGAATAGCTCTAGTATTAGTATCTTGCTCTTCCTACGGTAGATAACCTATAATAGCACTTAAGTGCAATTCGGATATATACCTATTACCGTCTAGCTAATATTAGTAAGTTGCTAGTTAAGAGAGAGATAATAGCACTTATAATAGTAGTATTAAGGTGCTATAATTCGTTCTTCTAACTATTAGTTAGGCCTCGAATATAGTGCTAATTAAGGGCAGTTAGGCCCTCCTTAATCTTCTCGAAGTGCGGTTTTAGCAATTCGTTTAGTTTCGAGAACGCTCTATTAATCGAGGCGTTATTGTTACGCTTACGGCGGCGTAGTCGCATCCGCTAAGTCGTCGATGGTATAGAAGGCGTAGATTCTTCCGGCTTAGTAGAGGTCGCCTAAGAAGAGCCGCTACTATTCAATCGACGTCGCTTCGAGCCTAACCTGTCTATTAGACTATCGCGGACAACGATCTCCTTACGCCGAGCCGCCTCCTTCTATTCCTTTATCGCTACCTTATCGAAGAGCTAAGGGTTTATATATATAGCGTGTTTAATAAAGAAGTCCTTCGCTTACGAGAGGTTATCGTTACTAGGCGCTATACTAGTAGAGCGCTCTTTAGCGGCCTATTCCTTTACCCTCTTAACTAACTTAACGTTGTAGCTCTATCAGAAGCTAGAATTACTACTAAACTCCTTCTTACTATTAGTACGAGCCTACGCATTCATACGACCTCTAACAAGCCGATAGAAGTTAGTAATATTGCCCTTCTTATAGGCATACTTTATATTATTTATTTGCTAGAAGATAACTAACTCTATTCGAGCCGATAGCTTGCCTAGCTTTAATAGGTAAGCTATATTACTACTGCCCTTCTAAGATAGTGTTTCTACGGTCTTAATTAATAGCGAAGGTCTAGGTAATAGAGATAGCTGTAATTGACTTGCTAGAGTAGTTAGTAGCGGCATAGATAATAATAGAGAGGCGTATTTACTAGATCTAGTCGCTATATCGATAACTCTAGGTAGTAGGTAGGGGGAGGGGAGATAGCGACCTACGAAGGTATTACGGAAGGCTATAATAATCTCGATTCGCTAACAAATTAATAGGATAGGAAGACGAGCGATCTACTACCTGCCTTCGAGTCCTCTAGCCGCCTTATTACTATCCCTCCGAGTCCCTTATAAAGCCCGATTTCTACTCGAATTTTCTATCTAATAACGTTACCTTCTATACTATTACACACTATCTACATTATTCGTACGACCTTAACTATTATTAAGAGCTTGTAATATATTATAATAGACATACTACTAGTAGTATAGAGCCTCCGAAGGTGTTATTTAGTATACTATAGAGCGATCGATAGAAGGTTTAATATTATAGGGGAAGGTAGTTACTATCGCTAAGGCTACTATACCGCTTCTATATCTACCTCCTTTAGTAATAGACTCATTGCATTACGACCTACGGCATTACAATCGATTAGCTATATATAGTATAGTAGATATAGTAGATACAGGTAGTAAACTATTAGTTAGAAGTTGTTGTCGGAGGTGGACAGCGACACCTCCTACTAAAGGTCTCTAGTGTCTCGTTAAATGCTGACCCGTCCTAGCTCGTAATCTTCTATGGCCAGGTCTGGTAATATGATGCTTTAGTGCCGCTGCTTTCAGTGGATCTGGCCCAAGACGGTACTGCTAGGGTTAGAATTTGGATGGTGGCTGCATGACTCCCGTAGCATCACCTCTAGCGACATGCGCAGTGCCGCCGCCTTCTTGCGTTTGTCTCAAACACGATCCGTCGAGACGTTGACCCAGCAGGAGTGCTGCCGAGCGCCATGTGTGCCCAAACCTGGATTCCTTCTGAGCCAGCGAACTCAGAGCCCTACAAGCCTTCCATCGAGCCATTATTCACCGACGCCGCTGGCCTAATATGTGAGTTTCCCTTATAATCGGAACGACTCTCGGATGCGTAAGTTACGAAAGACACGTCTCTTCAAGCACCTTTGCTCTTCGCCGCTCCATATACGATTTGCTATTGAACACACCGATTTCGCTACTGCCGTCGCTTGCTTGTGAGCAAATCCCCTCCCGCCATGGAGTCCTTCCATGGGACGGCCACCACAACGGCCACCAACACCCCAAGGCCTGGCACCCCAGAAAGCGACCCCATCGAACCTGTGCATCGACAGAACCCATTCGCTTCACCTTATGCATCCATGCCAGCATCAACTATGGCATCTTCTACTGCCATTCAAGCACTCCCACCACCGAGATACTTTCACTCTCGCCGAATAAACAAAGAAGAAGTGGAAAAGCCTTGGTTGGAGAAGAAGGATCCGAAAGAGAAATGGGTGACCATAATTCCAATCATTGGCATTTTCATCGGTCTTGCACTTTCCGCATTCCTGATCTACGAAGGTCTGCAGACCGTCCAAAACCACACTTACTGCCCAGTCCTCGATGACGACTTCTCTGCTGGGCTCAATGGCAAAGTTTGGACAAAGGAGGTCGAAGTGGGAGGCTTTGGGTGAGATACCATATGCATAGTTCTTGTCCATCCTGTCGCTAACGCAAACCCCGCAGCAATGGCCAATTCGAGATGACTACGAACACAGACGAGAACGCATTCGTCCAGGATGGAATGCTCGTAATCAAGCCGAGTCTACAAGACGAGAAATTGGTTGAGTCCAACAACGTAATCAACCTTCTCAAGGATGGCATTTGCTCTTCTGATCTCTGGTCCAACTGTGTGGCCGTGACCAATACCACAAACGGAACGATCGTCAACCCCGTCAAGTCCGCTCGCATCAGCACCAAGAAAGGCGCTAGCATCAAGTTCGGTCGTGTTGAGGTTGTCGCCGAGCTACCAGCGGGAGACTGGTTGTGGCCTGCAATCTGGATGTTGCCGGTCAACGACACCTACGGGCCGTGGCCAAATTCCGGCGAAATTGACATCATGGAATCCCGTGGCAACAACTACTCCTACCCACAAGGCGGCAACAATATTGTCTCTTCGGCATTGCACTGGGGTCCGGATGCAGCAAATGATGCCTGGTGGCAAAACAACGTCAAGCGTGAATCGCTGCACACCACATACTCCGCAGGCTTCCACACATTTGGCTTGGAATGGAGCGAGAAGTACATTTTCACCTACATCGACACACGTCTCCTACAGGTCCTCTACACCAACTTCAACAAGCCTTTCTGGCAAAAGGGTGATTTCCCCGCCTCGGATTCGAACGGGACCAGACTCGTCGACCCGTGGAGCCAGACAGGCCGTGACAGCACTCCCTTCGATCAGGACTTTTACTTGATTCTCAATGTCGCCGTTGGAGGTACGAACGGCTGGTTCGACGACGGCGTCGCAGGCAAGCCTTGGGTCGATGCTTCGGACACTGCCAAGCATGACTTCTGGAACGCACGTGACCAGTGGTACCCAACATGGGAGAAGCAAGGACAAATGAACATCAAGAGTGTTAAGATGTGGCAGCAGCAGGGCTACAATGGTTGCTAGAATTTCCTTCATTGAGTCGCATGGGCGTTTTTGGTGGGACAATGCAAGTCATGCAGGGTAGATGAGCCTTTGGTTGTAAAGCTACGAGAATATGAGTGAGAACCAATCTAGAGGATAGGATGCAGCGCCATCGGTCAACTAATTCGTTAAGTCGGTCTGGCAGTGTCAAATGAGAATTGACTACTGCATCTTCACATGTCGATGGAATGACTTTTTTGGCATTGCTGCATGTCTGAAGTGGAGTTCCAGGCCCACCAGCATGAAGCAGTATGCACATTGCTTCCGCGTCTCGTTGCGTGGAGTCAGGTCAAGGCTCACAGGATTCTTTTTCTTCTTCTTGAAAAGGATATTTCTTGGCCTCAGTGCTCTGCCCCATCCGCGAAAGCCTGCCATATGCAGTCAAGCTATGATTCCCCCGAACCTCCCAGCTGCTCAGCTCGCGTATGAGAGCAGAGTAGGCCGACGACATTCTTACTCGGAATACCATCACAAACGGACTTTGCCTCCAGCGAGCGCGCTTAAATCATGTTTGGAGAAAGGCAAGTAGCTTGTCGATTTTGGCGTTGCCCACAGAAGCATGTCGTCTTTCCCCGCATCACCCGTAGCGATCTTGTCCAGATCTATGCCTTCCTTCCTCAACGGAACCTTGTTCTGTTTATTATTGTGCATGGGCGTTGGACTCTGGATCAAGCGGAGGAAGATCGGCACTGCGTACCCAGGCAGGCCTTTCCTCGCATGTGCTAATAGTCCTGCGAAGTCAAAGGTAGCCCGGTCTTGAGGTAGAATGAACACTGCAGCACAGCCTGCCCTGCCATCGTGTCCAGGAACTTCGACTCCGTAGACGTTTGCCTCGACAATGCCCGGGAATCGGCCAAGCACCTCAGCTACTTCCGCAGTCGAAACATTCTCGGACTTCCATCTATACGTGTCGCCCAATCGATCCATGAAATACCAACGCCCGTCCGCATCACGACGCAGGGCGTCTCCCGTCCGGTAGTACAGATCGCCTTTCTTAAACACATCACGCTCAAAGCGTTTTTGGGTTGCATCTGGATTGTTCCAATATCCAACAAAGTCCTTCTCAGTCTGGCAGGCAATGATGATTTCGCCGCCTTCCTCGTACGGCGTCCGCCGAGCAAAGCCGGTCTTTGGATCTCGCCAGATTGTGTCGCCTCGCTCGTAGTCAATTTGGACCGGAATTATCTTATTGCGTAGAAGCCACCTCTGTATCGCTCCATGATGACCAACATGCGCAGCGTGGAATTGCCCTCGACAAACATTCAGCAGAGATAACATGCCTTCTGTAGAATTGAAGAACTCATTGACCACAGGAATGTTAAAACGCTCCTGTCAAGCCCAATCGCTTGGAGTCAGCGGATATTCCGGTCATTAACGACATGTGCCTGGACTCACCTGAAATCTCAGCCAGATGTCGGGCCTCATACCGTTGCCATACATCGCTTTCAGCTTATGATCCTTGTCAAGCGGTGACGGAGGTGCAGCTAGCAGGTAGCGAGCTGTTTCGCCAACATACACAAAAGCATTGGCTTCGGAATCGTGTACGTCCTTCCAAAAATTGCGCACGCTGAACTTCCGCCCGATGGCCAAAGTCACGCCGCTCATCATGCAGCCCATTGCAACCGTGCAGCCAGTGCCATGGTAGAAGGGCATGCAGTCATACCACACGTCTCCCGGACGGAGCCCCGTTGATCGCAGTCGTGGAGAGGTCAGACCGTGATGTGCGACAGTTGGGAACGCACACGCTTTTGGAAGACCTGTAGTCCCGCTCGTGAAGAAGATGAAGAGTGGATGACCAGGGGTGACCTCCTGCCTGTACTCGTGGCCCAGTTGAGTTGTATCCTTGCTCAGGATCTTGCTCTTCGTAGCAGCATCCAGAACGATTACGCGTATGTTCAGTGCTTCGATCTGCTGCCTGATAGGTTCTATGCGATCACGACAGCCGTCATCATCTTCGACCAACAGTACCTTGCCGTTGGCTACTTTCAGGCAGTGAAGCAAGCCATCGCCGCCCAAGTTGTAATTCATCATAGCCAGGCCAGAGCCTATGGCCCAGCTGCCGAGCATGCTGACTACAAAATCGGGCGAGTTCATCAAGTAACTGCCCACTAACTCGCCAGGTCTGACACCATTCTCAAGCAAGAATCGGCCGAGTTGCGTAGCATTTGAGAGCACGTCTGTCCAGCTATGAATCGTTGGTTGATGCCCAGGCTCTGTTCGGTACCATATGCAAGGCCCATCCTTTCTCAAACGTGCCTGTTCTTCAAATGTATACCATGCCGACCTCTTGTTTTGCTTGGCTGCGGTGCCATTTCAAATCAGCTTCGTCGCACAGCATCGTGGCTTGCGAGCGACCAACCTCGCCGTTCGGCTGTCTTGCGGACCTCTCGCTGTTCTCGAAGTGTAGCAACGTCTTTCGCGATGTGGAATTTGGCATCGATGTAAGCTGCGGCCGCAGTCGCGCCAGCAATGGCAATGCCAGTCGCTGATGTACATCATTCATCAGCTAATGTGTGGCAGCTTGTTGGACTGCAGGTGGATGTACTCACTTGCATTCAATGCCATGACGCCGTCTCAAGCCAAAACTGTGGGGAGGAATGCCATGCAGAGACTGCCAGAGAAGACTGGCTGTGTGCAGGATGGTACTCTGATAATCTAACTTATACACTCACTCACTCAGGGCCTATCGATGTCATGAACGCTGCGAGGCGTGTCTGCGTCTGCGCCTGCGTCTGCTTCGTATCGGTTGATGGTACGGAGGACCTCGGGGAACTGCGGTACGGTGTCCGTGTGCGGCAGTTTCGCTCGGCGTTCGTCAGCAAAACTAGGATTCTCAGTAGCCCAGGGATTCTTTACACAAAATGCGTCTGTGCCACAGTGCCAACTTATTATGCAAAGCGTATTTGACTCTCGGAGAGCACTGACGGTTGTCTGTGACATTCTTCCAGACTGGAACATTTTGAGCTCGCTGCTGCCCATCACGCACGTGCAGCAGGGCTCACGATAGCTGCGCGACAGCTGAACTCGAGACCTAAGTTGGACGAGGCGGCTCATCCTTTGGCCATGCCATCAGCGCTGTCTCACATGTAGGCTCTACAGCATGGGTTTCTGCTGATTGTTATTGTTCAGCGGGCTGCCTTTAAAAGACGCTTCTCTCACGCAGGACGCAAGGACTTGAAGCCCCTCGCAATCCATCACTCGGGACGCTACCTCTACCATTGAGAATGGGTCTCGACGAAAAGCCAGGTGTGATCCTCGTCCACGGAGCGTGGCACACACCCGCCCACTACTCGAACGTGAAACGCATATTAGAAGGCCAGGCTTACCAAGTGGAGGCGCCTCAATCTCCTTCTTCCAGTACGGTTGCTGTCGAGAGTCCTCTGGCGAAGGATGTTGAGACCATCATTAAGTCCATCGACAAAATTGCGTCGACGGGAAAGGACGTCGTCGTTGTTATGCATAGCTATGGTGGCATCTGTGGAAGCGAGGCTGTCGCCGAATTTATGGAACATCATAAGGCTCACGCTGACAGTCAATACGGCACAATCATTCATCTCCTGTACATCAGCGCATTCATCTTGCCGAAAGGTCGACACCTGATAGAGGATGGGAATACCTCGTGAGCATGCCAGCCCTGCTTAGTCCTTCATCTCTACTGACCAGTTTTCGCCAGACATGTGATGTACATTGATGAGAGTACGTCTTCCAGGAGCAAACCTCGAGGCATACAATTCTATACCATACTCCAGGACTGCCAATTGACTTGCCTCAGATGGCCTGGCGCACCACCTCGAGCCATATCATCGGTTTTACAACACCACACCCGTAGACAAAGCTCACAAGGCAATTCAAATTCTCAAGGCTCAAGCGATAGAGAGCTTCGCGACCAAGACTCAATGGAGGGGATGGGCCGACTATGACATTCCTGTAACTTATCTCGCCGCCAAGCAAGATAAAGCTCTTGTGTATGATCCGGACCTCCTCAAATTCTCGACAAGATTGAAGGAAGCTGGCGTGCGCGACCTTGCAACACCAGTAAGTCCGATGGCTTCAAGGCGCACCTCATTTTTGTGTCTTTTGCTGACCTTGTACCCTTCGCTTTTCGTAGGTACTTGATTGCGATCATACGCCCTGGCTTTCGGCTGAGTCTGAGTTCATGGCCATTCTCGAAGGTGTGCTAAAGAAGCCTGGCCCCTCTGCTGTTGTTGGATAAAGTGCAAAGGATGCATCGGGACAGAGGTTGTGTCATCCAATGGACGAGAATGGTGTCGATGTCCTGTATATCGAGACATTGAATTTACTGCATGCTGCATTGATCAATCTAGGTCTATCCGTCCAGTCCTAGCTCTTCCATCATATTATCTATCTTGGCGAGTAATATCTTGTAGTTCTGTGCATCCTGCTGGAATTCATCGCCCGCAATGTCGCCGTCTAATGTGCGTACAACGCCTCCTTCTATCAATTCCAGATCTGTCGGGAGCTGTTCCTGCCTAGGCATATCTTCCGAGGTCACATCAACGCCTTCGTCGTCCTCTTCGTCTGGCTTCGCGTGTCCCGCAAGTTCGTCATTCATGGATTCATCCATCATTTCGTCAATTCCAGAGTCTTCGAAGCGTAGTCTGCGAAATGTCAAAACGAGGCATTCTTCTTACGACCAAGAATCAGAGCACTTACCTGAATCTTTCGCTGAGATAGTAGCGGATATCATCAACGAGCTCAACTGTGTCCGTCTCTTGACGCGCGTGAACTCGCGCCGCAGACTCCCTTACTAACTCCTTGAACTCTGGCTCGTCAATATATCGCTCTAGCCTGTGGGCTATGAATCTGGCTGCAAACTCTTCAAGACGCTGGACTCGCATATCCCACCCAGCGCGAAGGACATCATAAATGTCAATCACATCTTCGACATCAACATCGCCCCTTGGATTTTCGGCCTCAACAACACTGGCGCTACCGTTGCCCAACGTGCTGATGAGCAGTGCCGCTCTCTGCTTCAGCTTCTCAATAAACAGCATGTCGGCGGCCTGCAGCACTTCTAATGCTATTGTCAAAGGGAAATCAGCCTGATCGGTATAGAGGAAGGTCAGAATGATCTTGAGAACTTCGGGTGAGCAATCAACAGGCACAATTCGAAGGTGTTTCGACTCCTGGCCTTCGCGAAATGGCGATGCAAACATGGTGGCGAAGACCTCAGACCGCAATAGCATAGCTCGATGACAAGGGAAGAGCACCGAGCGCTTCGGCTTCCGTTGTCGTGAAGGAGACCGTGAAGCCTGGTTTTGGAAGTGTCCTATCGGGACGCCATCGACAGGCCCGTCAGCTCGTCGCACAGTCCCAGTCGCATCAGCGGGTTCCTCGCTTTCCTCACTATCTTCGTCATCGGCACGAAGTAGAACATCCGCAAATATACCATTGTCTCGATCCCACTTGACGCCATCTGCTTTGTCGCTGTCCACGGTCATCTTGTTTTGCAGAACATTGCTCTTGAACCATTGCTCAACCTGACCCCGACCTCTGGAAACTTCTTCCTGTCTTCTTTGCCTCGCTTGTCGCCTGTCGCCCGAAGCCAAGATATCCTGAAAGAGCTGCTGAATCTCCAATTGACGGCTGAGCTTATCGATACCGGTCAGGATAATTTGCGCCTCCTCGCCGTCACCCAAGTCTGCGCCAACTTCACCCATGTAGAGGTATCGGATACAAATGTCAAATGCCTGAGGAGCAATGTTGTTTGATAGCTTCCAGTGTGTGGTCTCGGGAGCGGCAGCAAGCTTCTGCGCAAAGTAAGGACTGCGTGCGGCGAGCACAAACTTGTTCAATTCGAAGTTGTCTTCGCCGGCCTGCACCGTGATGTCGGCTGTTTTCGGCGTTTCCCTCGTGAGTAGACTCGTGATGTGCGCAGCCCATGGCTGTAGAGGGTCAGTCGACTTGCTATAATCGTATTGGAGCAGCAGATTCCTGATTCGATCGTTTAACGCATTGTAGAGGCATCTTTCGCCTTGGAAAGTGTCTCGTTCGCAGAGCGCACCCTGCTCAAGCAGCATTTGCGCAACTTCATAATGGCCACAGAGGCTCGCCTACCTATCGCATCAGCATCAGCTCTGAGCAAGACATCACCCATATAGCGAGGAAAAGGAGCCGACTCACAAGGATTAGTGGCGTGTAATCGTAGGCGTCTCGCGCATTGATATTAATGCCCGTACTGATGGCCTCTTGACACGCCTTGAGATCTCCTCGCCGGCACGCCTCACAGAATTTCCTAAACTCGTCGCTGGAGTCTAATGGATTCTCTTCCTTCAGGCGACCTGCCGAGATCTCCTTCTTCTCGTCATACAGGGCCTTCTCGATCTGATGTTTTCCCAGGATCGTGCCAGCCATCTCGTTGGAGGGGATTAGATGTGCCTAGGGAGTTACAAGGTCCGACAGCGGATGTGCAGTCTGCAGAGGTTCACATCTTCAAAGTTCAAATTGAAGAAGCGCAAGCGTATAAGTGAACGATTGACGCGGTGCGGCGGTGGTCCGCCACACGAATGGACCCTGGTGGCTGAGACGGATGCCGCATGACTGTTGGCCTGTCAACCAAGCTCGAGCTCCAGATCAACACCGGGACAGCGCGGCTTCATCATCACCAGCTGCCATTCGAGCTCCACCACCGCACCGCACCGCACCGCTACGAAGCACTTACTACCGACAGCAGAGATTGCTGCACTGGGGGATCGTTTGGACGTTCGAGTGCTCTTTTGTCTAACATTGTACCTTGCACATGTACCCACTGTACACACAGAGCACCTCGTTAATGCTCAACATACTACTCTAGTCCTTTCTTTCATACATTCAGTCCTTCACTACCACCCGGCATAACCCGACATAGAACACCACACGCCGAGCAAAACCATACAGCAAACATGGCCTCCGACCTCGACTACGATGTGCTGGAGAAGATTGGCCAAGGAAGCTTTGGCATCATCCGAAAAGTCAGACGCAAGGCAGATGGACAGGTTATATGCCGCAAGGAGATCTCCTACACGCGCATGTCCGAGCGGGAGAAGGAACAGCTACACGCAGAATTACGCATCCTCGAAAGCCTGCGACATCCCAACATTGTGCAGTACTACCACCGACAGCACCTAAAAGCGTCTCATGACTTGCACTTATACATGGAGTATTGTGGCAACGGCGATCTCGGCGGATACATCCGAAAGCTGAAAGAGAGGAACAAGATGGCGGACGAGGAGTTCGTATGGACGATATTTGCGCAACTTGTCGGAGCGCTTTATCGCTGCCACTATGGCGAGGACCCACCGCCAGCTGGGAAAGAGGGTAACGTGCGGAAGGGCAAAGCGCTTGTGAGCAAGCAGGGCCACACCGTCATCTTGCACCGCGATCTCAAGCCGGAGAATGGTAAGCTTCTTTCGCTACGGCCATTGATCGATAATTTGCTAACGATTCAGTGTTCTTGGGTGAGAACAACAGCGTGAAGCTGGGAGATTTCGGGCTGTCCAAGATCATCGCTGCGCACGACTTTGCGAGCACGTACGTGGGCACACCATTCTATATGAGTCCAGAAATCTGTGCAGCAGAGCGTTACTCACACCATTCTGACATCTGGTCCCTGGGATGCATCATTTACGAACTTGCGACTAGAAATGTGCCTTTCGAGGCACGCAGCCATATGGAGCTGGTGTTGAAGATCAAGAAAGGCTACATCAAGCCTCTTCCGCCGCAGTACAGCCAAGACCTGTCGGATGCAATTGCGTGGTGCTTGAAGACCGATCCACGTCAACGACCAGATTGTGCGCAACTATTGACTGTCGCCAATATCAAGGTTGCCCGAACCAAGCTGGAACAGCAAACAGCACTTGGCCAATTCGACAAGGTGCAGGCTGAACGCGACTCTGCCCTGAACAAGCTTGCTGCGGCGCAGAGGCAGGTGCAGGAGCTGCAGGCAGAGATTGCCAAGTTGCGAGAATCGAACAAAAAGGTCGAGATGGAGTGGCATGCGCGAGCAACCTTGGCTATCGATCAAAAGGTTCACGAGGCATCGGAAAAGAGCAGGGTTGAATTACTGGCCCAATTCGAGACGGCCGTTGAGCAACGAGCAGAGGAGAAGCTGTCTCTGCATCTTGCGTCTTTGCCAGCTAGCCACAGCTCTCGGTCGAGCGATGCATCGGTACACGTGCGGTCCAGCACTCCACCGCCAGCCAAGAGAGATCATTCTGCTTTTACGTCTTTCTCGAGCAGGCTGCCAGAGACTGATGCGTCATCATTGCCAGACCTCGACGAATCGCAGATTGAGCAGGAGCTGACGTCCCTTTCGCTCGGAGACATCGCTGCAGAAGAGCCTGACGAAGTGTCACCACTCGCACGCCGAACAAAGGCTCCACCGAAGAAGACTGCACGTAAGCCAATGATGCGCGCAAAGACATTTGCCAACTGCAATTTGCATGTGAGAGACTCTCCGATGGACGTCCACATGGCGGATCCAAGTCCCATGCGCGCAGAGTTCAAGAACTTAGGACTGTCGCCCCGTCGGAATGGCGCGCAGGAGCGCCTTACGGCTGAGCCTCTGAAGAGAAACATTTTCTCCGTGGCCGCTGAGAAAGAGAACAGACCACCCATTCGCGGTCGCACGCTGGTCGAACTGTCGCAAAGCCCGGCCAAATGGAATGCAAACGTGCACGGCGAGGAAATGCCAAGTCCATTCGTCAAGAAGCGATGACCGGACATTTGCACGAGTACATACATCCCGTAGTCGAATTTCCTTATCCGGCGTCGGTTGGTTAGAATGGATGATGGTTGGGAAGCATTTTCGGCAAGGCGCACAGGACGATGTTATGATGGGTGGGATTCGTACTCGCTCGCATAGTGCTCCGAATTTGGAATCGTTTGTGCTGCGCAGCACTTCTTGAAGAAGAAATTCAGCTTAGCACTCACACACAGATCTCGTGCCAGTCTCTCACACTTCGCGACCCTGTCCCGACCAACAGCAGACCACCGTGGCTATTTGGTACGATAACGACAAGCCTATGCCGGCATTACTACACTAAAGCTCATCATCCTGGTCTCCGACGAAGCCCGTACCGAAGTCATCCGAATCGTTAAGCACAATAGCATCTTCCTTCTCTTTACCCGTACCCTTCTTTGCTCGTTTCTCTCTTATCTCATCAACCTTCGTACTAAAGGATCTTAGAGCCGCATTGCCTAGCTCTTCTTTGTCTAATATCTAATGCTCGATCTGTACGCTATAGGAGTAGTATCGAACTATTCTTACTTTGCGCTTCTAGCCTACCCGATTCTCCCTCGTCTTCGCCTATTTACTTGCTATAAGGTTCTAGTCAAGGTCGGCTATAAGCAATAAGTTCGCTTCGACTATATTATAGCTACGCTTAGCTACGCTTATAGAGTAGACGAGAATGTCTACGCCCGACGTCTAGGAGCGATTGAACTCTACGATTAATTCTGTTCGCTAGCTAGCGTCCTTAGGCACCCTAGAGTTAAAAAGCTGCGAATTTAGACTAGCCTTCTTGCACGCCTAGATAGAAGTGTTAGTATATTACTTCAATTCTTATTTACGAAGGTAGAGCTTACTAGATTAATAGTGTAAGCTACTACGTTAGAATAGCTTATTACTACGGCCTTCCGGCCCTTATTATCTTTAACGGTGTTAGCCGTCTGCTTCTTAAGCTCCGAGATAATATCCTTAATATATAGGCTTTCTATAAGCTCGTTAAGGAAGTGAGTATATAGGTCCTTATCGGGCTTAAAAAGCTAGCCGAAAGACTTAATCTCCTTTATCGTAAAGTCTATTTCCTACTCCTTAGTAGACAACGGCGCGTAGCCTTTGCGCTCTAGATTATTGTTCCTTGCCTTAATGAACTTGTTAAGGGCCTTGCTATAGTTCTTCCGTACCTAGTCGCTTATCCGAGTCGGCAAGGTAAGGCCGCGCTTATCTTTAGATAGCAGAGTCGATAGGGTAGTTCTAATTCGTATCCTATAAGAGCCGAGGAAAAATTGCTACTACGCTTTACCCTTGCCGTTAATCTTTCCTATACGGATCTTCTAGTTAATGCTCCGCTTTAGCTTTTCTACCTAATCATTCAATTCGTTAATTATATCCTAAGGTAGCTTAATGTTCTTTAGCTCCTTATTTGCATTATCTAATAGTCGTATCTTCTATTAGGGTTTTTTTGCGTTAAACGGCTAGACCGTTTTGTATATCCGTAGTATAAGAAACTCCCTTAATACTAGTATAAGTAAGTCGGCTATTAGGGTGTTAGGTTCCTTAATAGAACCCTTTTTCTAAGGCTCTCCGCTTAAAGCTTTCTCGTAGCGACCGATAATCCTCTTAAAGCCCTCGCCTAGAGGCTTACTTCTGAACTCGTTCTATGCTTTAAAGTCCTTCTAGTAGCTAGATTCGGATCGCCCCCTGTTATTACGGCGAGCTAAGGCGTCGAAGACTCTAAACTATTCAATTATCGGCTTCTACGTTCTAGTAATTAGGGTACCTATTACGAAATATACCGCACATTTCGTATTATAGTTTACGCTTAGCTTGCGAAGCGTACTTATGCTATTCGTGTATATTCTATGCTCCTCGTTAGCCTCGTCTATTGCGATAGCTCTAACTAGAAGAGTGTTATAGGACGCGGTTCTCTACTCGATCGAGCCGTTTACGTAAGGCTCGCCTAGTTAGGTCCTCTTATACTATACGCTCTTAACAGAGCAGTTCTAGCTCTCGTAGAATACGTGCAAACGACCCTTTAGTACGAATACGAGCTTCTTATATAGACCGAGAGGCGCCTTAGTAATGATTGGATTTTGCGTAGAGCCCGGATAGCTAACTCCTTTCGGGTATTTATCTACCTTAGGAGCAGCGACGCGATCAGGCCTAAAGCCTATTACGTCTGCCCTTTTTAGGATCTTAATACTATCCATTTCCTCTTTCGTATTGTCTATATTAGGCGGGTTGAAGTTGTATAGTTTAATACCTAGCTCCTTAAAGTCCGTATAAGCGAGGAATTTCTTAATAGTATCGGGTTTCAAACCGGTAGTTAGGTACAGAACTATAATGCCCTTGCGAAGCCTAAACCTACGCTATAGGTCGCGCTGCTCGTATCTATAGGGGATAGAGAACTTGTTCGTAGATAGGCATTCAAGTTGCGAATTTTCCGTATCCTATAGAAGGTGTTTCTCTACATCATTTCTGTTTTCAGCGTAGTCTTTAAGCATATCGGTAATCTACTTATAAAAAACAAAGATTATAAGTTACTCTATAGTCTTGCCGAGACCTATAATGTCGCCTAAGATTCCTCCGGCTTCTCGAGTATGCTACGGTCGGCAGAATATAAGCTAAGCAGCTCCGAACACTTAGTAGGCGTATAGCTTTATCTTGAAGCCCGTTAGGGCGATAGGTGTTTCGGGATCTATAAAAAGATTAGGCGACAGGCGTAGATAGAGGCAGATGCGTTTAACGTACTCGTGCGTTATCTACTCTAGCTCGGTAGTATAACTCTAATTGAGATCCCCTAACTAGGTTTGCTTAATACGGTCGAGGAGCTATTAATAGGTTTGACTTAGAATATACGGGGTCGACTCTGCCTACTCCTCTAGGTCGTCCGGCTCCGGAGTGTCCGTATCTACATTAACGATAGGCCTAGCGCGTCTAGCAGTCCTGCTATCTCTTACAGGCTCCGATTTAGTATTAGAGTCGCGCCGCCTAGTACGAGCATAAGGATCCCGTATACGTTTACTACTACCTAATCCTCTTCGGTTTCTCGTTAGACTATTACTAAGACCCCTACTTAATCTATACATTTGTATCGACTTGTTATTTATAGAACGCTAAGAACCTAAAGCATTTAGATGACTTTCTAGAGGAGTAAAGATCCTGCGTAAAGCTGCCGGCGCGGCAGTATCTATAGTCGACTCTTAACTATTTTCCTTAAGTCTAGAACCTTAAGGCTTCTCTTGAGGATTCTCTTAAGCATTCTTTTAAGCATTCTTTTAAGCATTCTCTTAATGATTCTCTTAATAATTCTCTTGATGATTCTCTTAATAATTCTCTTAAGGCGTAGAGGGCACGGCTAGAGCATTCGGCGCGGTAGCGTCTATAGTCGATCCTTAACTATTTTCCTTAAGTCTAGAACCTTTAGGATTCTCTTAAGCATTCTCTTAAGCATTCTCTTAAGCATTCTCTTAAGCATTCTCTTAAGCATTCTCTTAAGCATTCTCTTAAGCATTCTCTTAAGCATTCTCTTAAGCATTCTCTTAAGCCGTAGAGGGCACGGCTAGAGCATTCGGCGCGGTAGCGTTTCTAGTCGACGTATAACTGTGTACATTAAGTCTAGAACCTTGAGCCTGCTATAAAGATACCGGCGTAGGGGCAGGCGGTGACTTAGGATCTCTAAGCCGAATCCTAGGTAGAGCTGTACTAAATAGAAAGAGGGGCTTATCTATAGGCGACGGTGTCGATACCCTCGAGGATAGAGGGATACTAACTGCGGCGCTGCGTAGGAGTTGGCTAGATTAGAGACCTAGCCGCTATCGGCGCTGCTTATAACGACGTTGCTATATCTCTAGGCTAAATAGTAGCTTCTCTCTTAGCTATAAGTCTTCCGACTCTACTAAAGCTATAGCAGTTATAGCGATTGGACTGCTCGCATTCGTTTTCCGCTTCTTCTCGATATGCCTATTAATGTCTCGACTAAATGTCGCGCGAGCCTTATTCTCGAATTTCTTCTCTGCCTACTCGACAAAATCTAGCTCGTATTCTTATAGCTCTGTTTAGTAGCCGATAAATAGTAGTATTTCAACACTCCCCGTACCGTATCTGCCGGCTACGCTATATTTAGTAACGGCGGCTTCGAACTTACCGTTATCGGTAATCTTATTCGTATCGTCCTCGCCTAGGTTTACTACTACTATTACTATATTTAACTAGCTGCGGATGTTAAACTTAGACTCTAACCAATCCTCTAGGAGGTTATACGACAAATTTGCGTATAACGATCGAAGATTATAGTTATATACAAATTTCTTTAGAGTCGCAGAGGGCGCTTGCCTAAGACATCCTACTAGTAGTATCGAAAATAATTAGCCGAATAGCTGTGCGAC